GAGAGGGTGGCCTCATGGGAAGGTTTGGGACTCGGAGCTGGGCTGGGCCGGGGGGAGGCGGGTGGGGCAATGCCACCAGCACCCCAGGGATCAGCTGAGGTGTGGCTGCGCCTGGAGGTGCCCGAGCAGCACCCATGTGCTTTGCCGAGGAGTCCCCCCGACACCCGCCCTCCTGCCTGCACCGCCCCGGGTGGGGAAACACCCTCATCCCTCTGTACGGCTGGGGCGCCGGGGGCAGAGTGGGCCAGGCGGTTCCCCGCAGGCCCCATGGGCAGAGAGCGGGGTCGTCTTGTGTTTGGTGTTTCCGGGATCTGGTGGCAGAAACCGAGTGAATTCCCTTTGAACCCCTGGGATTCTGCGCCCCAGGTGTACACAGGGCCGCCGAGTTCCTGTGAAAAGACTGCAGGGAGCCCTGGCCGCTTTGCTCAGTGGCTATTTCAGTCTGGCTGGTGTTGCTCAATGGTTGAGCATCGACCTATGAACCCGGAGGTTACAGTTTGATTCCTGGTCAAGAGCACACGCCTGGGTTGAGGGCTCGATCCATGGGGGGTGTGCAGGAGGCAGTCAATCCATCATGCTCTCTCCTCATTGATGTTTCTGTCTCTCTCTCCCTCTCCCTTCCTCTCTGAAATTAATAAAAATCTATATTTTAAAAAATAAATAGAAATGGGTTTGCCCTCACCTCTCCCTGCTCCCAGCAGAATCAGCCTCAGCTCACCACGGGGCAGGAGCTGCAAATGGCCGCCTCCGTGCCATGACCCGCTCGCTGGGTTGGCCACTCGGGGAGCTGTCAGCCGGGCACTGTCTCCCCGAGGCAGACGGCCAGCCACTGGGGGACTTGGGGTGATGGGTGCGTCCAGCTGACCCTGCATCTGGCCCCGTAAGCAGTGGGCAGAGGTCGCCAGGCCCCGCCCCCACTCACCCGCACGTCATCGTAGCCCAGCAGCCCGGTCATGCTGGCGGACCCGTACAGCAGCTGGATGGGCCGGTCCGTGCTCTGGAAGGTGGACGACCGCAGAGGGTTGAAGGTTTTGTGTGTCACTGCAGACGGAGTGCAGGGGTCAGTCAGCTGCCAGAGCCTGGGGCAGGAGTGGGGCGGGGGCAGGGGCCACGGCTGGCCCAGGCACTCCACAC